GCGCTTTTGCCGCTGAGCTAAATCCCCAGCCCTAGTTTTGATTGTCTTGCTTATAGCAGGAACAACTGCTATGAAGAGCTATTTCCTACAACCTCATCTAACTGTGTTTGTAAAGATGCCATTAGTATATTTAATAGGCATATTCTGGAGATATAAATACTGAGAGAGAAATTCCTTGCATAAGTGGTTGTGGCACCATCATTAATATGCAGTGACTGCAGCTAAGAATTCTGGCAGACAGTAGACTTAGTCTTCACAGGCTATTCAAAAGAATCAGAATAATTTTTAATAGTGGAGAAAAATTCTGAAGTGAATCATTGAATCCCTTTATACCTTTGGCAGTATTAAACTGAGGAACCAAGCTTAGGTATTTATTAAAGTCTAAATACAGAGAAATGGACTTTCAATGTTGCAGGAAGCCTTTGAAAAAAATTATAATAAAAGAAATCTCTGTGGGTAGTGAAAGATTATAAAGTCCAAGTTAGAAAATCTTCAACATTTGGCCTCACCTAGATGTACTTAGAGGCTGAATCAGGAACCTGTAAAAATTTTCACTATTGAATTTTTTCTCCAGGCTACCTTACCTACATCTCTCCTAACTAGAAACAATGCTTAATTTCAGTGTTTAATCCCATAACCCTTATTTTCTATAAACATATCTTTGATTAGCAGTATGATATAGTTTTTTAAAAAATTTAATTATTGTGGATGCTGATATACACTAATTAACAAAGGAAGGCTGTCAGGAATGATTTGCGGTATTGTTAGCAATTCCTTTTCGTTTATGAAATACAGGCACACAAGTGAAGAATAACCCTTTTAGGAAAATAGGTATAATTTTGCTAGTTGCCTGACAATGAAGCTCCTAAAATATTTTTCAAAGACGAGGTGAAAGGAAATTTTGCTGGGGATGTACCTTGGTGGGAGAGTGCTTACCTTGTAAGCACAAGGCCCTGAGTTCCATCCCCAGTACCACATAAAAAAAAGAGAATTTAAAAATTAAGGCCTGAACAGGTCTCTCTCCAAGGGCTCAAATATATCTAAGATCAAAGGCCTTCATTCATGGGCTAGGGAAGTACCCAGGTAAAGAGCATAATGCAGCAGAGGGCCTGAGGCCTTGACTATAACTCCTCTAGGGTCTGCAGTGCACTAGTTGTGCACAACGGCTGGTGCCAGGAGGGCAGCTTTTCCCAGGGGCCTGCTATGGTCAGGCCTGAAAAGTCACGCCCAAGATTTTTTGCTTGTTTGTTTGCTTTTTGTTTTTCTTCTGGTACCAGGATTCAAACTCACGACCTTGTGCTTGCCAGCAGGCACTGTGCTGCTGAGCTAAATTCCCATCCCCCTGCCCAAGTTTTTAACCGGGAACCTGACACCTGATTATTTAGAAATGTACACTGCCTCTTTCTTGTCACCAGGGGATTGTGCAACCAATGCATTATGGGCTCAGGGGAGACAGCAGCATGTTGACGTGGATTCCCCTGACGATTGCTCTACACACTCACAGTCAGATTTCAGAATATGGAGAGGAGACCCGTGCACGTTGTTGATTAAATCATGCTTGAGGGAAACAATTCAGGTGTTAAAGGCAAGAAAAAGTTTGATATCTTAATATAATTTGAAGGCTAATAGCAATAAGCTGTAAAATGACTTCCATCTATTTAATAGAAGCACAGTCAAATATCAACCAACCACTACATACTCTGCTTGTGCCCTTGAGCCTAGCATTCTTCGGGATGACTGGTACACAACAGGCAACAAGATCAATAAAGATCTGACCCCTTCTCTTGACTGAATTCTAGCTATGGAAACAGATACTAACAATACACCAAAAATGGGCTGAAATCTTAAATAAAGTGATCAAAGAAGGTCTCATCATACAATAGATCCAACAATCCCTTACATCTCCAATGCATCTATACTTTTGCTAAATTGATCTTACTGAAACTTCAGATTTTACCATTTTCTTGATCCAAAATCCTCAGTGATTTCCCATCCCCAAGAGACAAAGTACAAACTCCCTTTTGTGATGTTCAAGGGCTTCATTGCTTCGGCTTAATATTCCTCATTACCTCTTCCCTATCCCAGCAGACCACATGGTCATCTGACCTCACCCTGTACCGCCCCAGGCTCCTGCTTTTGCCGCAATTGCCTCCTATCCTCTCCTTTCACGCCACTTCTTCCAAATCCACCAAATCTTCAAAGTTCAGCTCAAATATTTGTTTCTAACAAAACCTTCCTAGATCCTTCCATTTCATGGAAAGTCTTTCCTTTTATTTTTTTATTTTTTTTTTATTTTTTTGGTTTTTGGTTTTTCTCCGGTACCTGGAACCGAACTCACAACCTTGCGCTTGCCAGGCAGGCGCTTTTGCCACTGAGCTAAATCCCCAGTCCCTGGAAAGTCTTTCTTTAAACTCTCACAATACAGCAAGTTAGAAATACAATGTGCAATGCATTATATCTATAAAAATACTTCAGTTTTTACTGGATGATAAGCTTCTTAAGGACTAGACCTACCTCTTGAATATCCCCGTAGTATTTAGCATAATGCCTTTAAACACTGACCTCAGATAAGTAAGAGTTGATACAGAGTCATTCCATGATTTCTGCCAGCAATTTCAGGACCCGCCACAGATAACCAAAATTTATGGAACCTCTTTACATAAAATGGCATAGTACTTTGCATGAGACCTATGTATATCCTCCTGGATATTTCAAATCATCTCTAGATTATTTATAATGCATAATAGAATACAAATCCTATGGATATTGCTGCATACTGTATTGTGCACAGATAATAAGAAAAGTCTGCACATGTTCAGTATGGGTGCAGTTTTTCCTTTCTGCATGTTTTTGATCCATAGTTGGTTAAATCTGCACATATAGGATGCACAGATATGGAAGCTGACCGTATAAAGGAATGAGGTAAAATAAACTTTAGAGTAGGTAGCCAGCCCATGTCTTTAAAATCTTATTCTTCCTTAGAAAAATTCAAGACCTCATCTGTTGAAAATGCTAAGGTTTTTCATCGATAGCATAAAATTTTGGTCTAGTTAAATACAAATAATTAGAAATCAGGAACAAAGTTTTATACTTCTACAATGATGAGTGTTGAATTGTACTAAGAACTTACACGGTATGGGTGGAAGTTTCAGTACTGCATTTTGAGTTCTCCAAAAGACACTTTATAAACCCTGAATAGAGATGCTTATTTCTAGTCCTTGATTTTGCAAGGAAACTTCATGTTATCTCTGATAGATACTTTGGTTCACTCTTCCTCCAGCCCAAACCTCACTTGGAGAGACATGCAACACTTGGTTGTCTGGACCTCTGAGTATGACCCACTGGCCAATAACCCTGGGTGGAAAAAGAATGGAGCGGGCTTGATGGTGAATAGCCGATTTGGATTTGGCTTGCTAAATGCCAAAGCTCTGGTGGATTTAGCTGATCCCAGGACCTGGAGCAGTGTACCGGAGAAGAAAGAATGTGTGGTCAAAGACAATGACTTTGAGCCCAGGTAAGCACATCCAAGAATTTTAAACAAATGTATGCCCTACAATGTTTGTTACTTCAATTAATTGTCTCTTACCTCCCGCTCTAAAGTAAATGGACATGGAGTTGATAGATGGCTCTCTATGGAGAAGTACTGAGAGACCAAGACCTATGTCATGTTCATAATTTGGGTTTTCTTCTTCTTGACCACCTCCCACATTGCAATAAGCTTAAAATGCACCATTGTTTTAGGTACCACTAAGAAAAAACATTGTCAGACTATAACCAAACAACCACCAGTTTTAAGGCTTATCCTAAATTTAACCTAATTTTAAAAATGCATCTTTGGGTTAATGAAGTAGTATTTGTTGACCAGTGTAAAACCTATTTCCAAAATAACTTTGCCTCATGCTGTGTGATTCCTGCCTCCTTTCCATGAAAGATATTTGGTCATACATTTGTTTACAGAGAACACCCCCTACTCATCATATCTGATCACAGAAACACAATATTCTATCAATGCTTTGTTGTTTCTGTCAAGACAGCCATAATAATACCAAGAGCCAAATGGGAGGCTCAAGAGTATGCCTACAGAAGTCTTTATAGATAAAATCATTTCTTCTTAACAGAGTGGTTTTGATATTGCAATAATCCACTGCCTTAGATGAACCTTGCCTGAATTTGGTTCTACAGCAAGTAGCATTGTGCTTAAGTATTTGTGTTCCCTACTATTATTTTATCCATTCAATTATTTCATAGCTAGTCTCAAATTGAGTTTCACTTATAACAGGGAGTGACAACATGCCAAGCTGAGTATCAGGTCAAGAACAACGTGAACTCCTATGCATTATACACAAGAAACACAAGGCACGCTTTACTCAGTGTTGGTTGTTTCATGTGTTTAGAGCCCTGAAAGCTAATGGAGAAGTTATCATCGAAATTCCAACAAGAGCTTGTGAAGGACAAGAAAACTCTATCAAGTCTCTGGAGCATGTGCAATTTGAAGCAACAATTGAGTATTCCCGTAGAGGGGACCTTCATGTCACACTCACTTCTGCTGCTGGTAAACTACAAAACATTTCTTCTTAATTTTTCAGTGTAAATCAGTGATAGTGTTTGTTTATTTGTAGAACTAATTTTCCTAATAGATATTTTCAAGTCTAAAATATATGTTTACTTTTCTTCATGCTAGATTTCCTCTGCCCTACTCATTCTTACTTACCTAAGGGCCCATCCAAATAATGCCAATGGCTAAAACTTCCTGAAGTCACACATTTCAAAGCATGCCCACTCTCCAGCTTACTGACATCATTACTTTCTCTTAGGGAATGTGCTTGTGAAAGTTATTTTGATAATTCACAGAACTTAAAGATACCTCTGAAACATCCAAGGCATCAGTGAAAAAATAGAAATTCTGATACATGAAAGAAGGTTGTAACTAATAAAATTCCCACCATGCTATGACTAAGTCCATATGATATGATATATGGACATATACCCTTTTCCTGAAATAGGTCTAATTCCTATACAATAAGAAGGGGTGAGCCATAAATCACAATCCAACCAGCAGAAGTTACTTCAATGCTGTTTCATTTTTGGTAGGACCCAACTGACCAAATTTAATTTCTAAAAGTGATAAATGAGCAAAGATGAGCTACTTCTACGAACCCCTTCTAGAATACGAACTCCTGAAGATTTGGAGTAGATGCCATTATTACAGTTATGCCAACTAGGTGTCTTGTAATTGGCCCAAAGTATCATGAAATTCTTTTATTTAAACTTTTACTTTGAATGAAATGTTATTTATTGATCTATACAGTGCTTGGACTTGAAAAATTTATAGTGACTTCTAATACTAGCTTTTATGGGACAAGCAATTGTTAAATTAATATATTTTAATTATTTGCATGATTAATCATTAAATAAGTTTACTAAATGCTAACTTTATTTTTACATCCACATTAGAGTATAGACTCAAGTACCTAAATTTTTAAGATTTCTTTTTATATTTCAAATGTTAGTGCCACTAAAATATACTTTAGATCTTTGACTCTTATTTGGTCCAATTTATAAATGTAGTTCTTAGAATTCTCCTTTTTCAAAGATCTGTAATCAAAATATTGATTTGTTATTTAGTTTCATACAACAATTTAAAGGAAATTATTATATGAAGACAATGTGCTAAGTACTGTGGATAAAAAACATTTTTTCTGTGAATGTCTCTGTGCTGCCCCTATACTGGCAAATTAGGAGGACCAGTCTCTCCTAGCTTTCATTCTATAGTGTGTCCTATTATGTAGGCTATTAAGAAATTGATTGCTTTGTGTATTTGCATGAAAATAGGAACCAACACTGTACTGTTGGCAGAAAGAGAACGGGACACATCCCCTAACGGCTTTAAGAATTGGGATTTCATGTCTGTTCACACGTGGGGAGAGAATCCTGTAGGTACCTGGACTTTGAGAATTACAGATATGGTAAGTATAAATATACAGATTAAGAAAACCCAGTCACTTTTAAACACTTTGGAGCACTTTTTAAGACTGATGTCATCATTAAGACTGTGAAGAACTTGATCTCTGATTAGTAAAGATAAGGAAAAGTGCAGTGTTTAAAGCCCTCCCCACTTGGATACATAGATAATAATATAGAAGATTAGGCACCACATATATTGTGAGAGAGAAAAAAAGATATATTGATGTCTTACTTTTCTTGTTGCTGAGACAAAATACCCAACACCCAAAGTTAAAAGAGGGAAGGTTTACTGTAGCTCATAGTAGAGGTTTCAGTTCATAGTCAGCTGGTTCAGTCAAGGTGGCAAGGCAAAGGGGCATCACAGAGGAGAAACAGTTCATGGCAGGCAGAAGGCACCAAAGCAGCAGAGTAGTAAAGAGGCAGCAGCAAGCCCTTATATCCTTTTCTGTCCCTTATATCCTATCCAGGCTGCTCACTCTTAGGGGAGACAGCACTCACACCCAAAGTGGGACACCCTTACTTCTAGCATCACACCATGGAGCAATCCCAGCATCACATCCTTGATTCCAGCATCACACACCCTAGATCCAGTCACCTCCCAAAAGCCCCACCTGTGATCACATGAGGTTTTGGGGGAACATCTATATACAAACCATAACAATTGATTTTTTGTTTTGTTTTGTTTTGTTTTTGTTTTTTCTCCAGTACCGGGAACCGAACTCACAACCTTGCACTTGCCGGGCAGGCGCTTTGCTGCTGAGCTAAATCCCCAGCCCCAAACCATAACAATTGATAAACAGCATTACAGACTATAGGGCAAATCCAAGAGGTCCCATATATAAGGCCAACTAGCCACATGATCTGTGACCACCAGAATCAACCATGTTTATGAAGATAGTCAAATGCTTTGCCATGACAGTATTCTGGAGTCACATGAAAACATTCTTAAGATTATTCTGCAGTTAGCTATTGAGAAGTAGCTTCATGTTAGGCAAGATAGCTTATATACTTTGATATTCAAGAAGCTTCGATTTTTTAGCATTTCAAATTTTAGATTTTTGGATTCAGGCTGTTCAACTAGTAAAACCTATGTAAATGTTCCAAAATGTGAAAAAAGTCAGCAATCTGAAACATTTCCAATCTCAAGGATTTCAGATGAAAGATACACAACTTGTCCTAACACTATTTGACATCTTCCTTTAATTTTAACACATAGTCACCAAAATGAAAGGATAGAGCAAGAGTGTGTGACAAGAAACCAAATAGAGCTAAATTATTTATTTTGCATTTCTCCATTTTCTATAGGTGAAATATAAATGAGTGACATTTCAGCTCTGAGGTCTGGTGAAATATTCTGCAATAAGTATCAGTAGTTTAAATTTCCATCCCTATTTTTAATTTATTTTTTAAAATAGAATTTATTTTAGATTTCTAAAACTGTTGACCAATATAAATTGTATAATCATTGTTACTTGCTATCATTGAGCACAGCTTTCTGTTAGAGATTGCTAAACTTATGGTTTAGAAATTAAAGTTATAAAAAGTTTTGTTCTCATAACAAAGGAAGACAGTATTTCCAGTAGTTGGTCCTGATCTGGAATTTGCTTTCAATTCTTTAACTCAATTTCACCATTAGGAAACTAAGGAAATATATTTACTGGGATGGGACTATTTTATATCATCTGTAAAATCTGATTCTACAGATTTGTTTTAGATATTTTCTATTTCAAATACAGTGAGCTTTTAAGAAATACACCAAGATGAAAAAGCCTTATATAGAACCCTCTGATTTTTGTAGTTAGATGCTTGATTATGAGCAATTAATCAGTTTTTAAATTATCAAAAGTGTAAACTGTTATAGAAACCTTTATAGAGAGTGAATTTAATGTTTCTTTTGAAATAGAGCTCTGAACATGGCATGCATGGGATGTTAAAATGAGATTTTAAGTGTAAAATCATTTTTGGCAATTTTGAATCAGTTTGCTTAGATTCAGAGTACACACTAACTATATATCCATCTTTATTCATTAGTCTGGGAGAGTGCAAAATGAAGGGAGAATTGTGAACTGGAAGCTGATTTTGCATGGGACCTCCTCTCAGCCAGAGCACATGAAACAGCCTCGTGTGTACACGTCCTACAACACCGTTCAGAACGACAGAAGAGGGGTGGAGAAGATGGTGGATGCAGGAGAGGTTTGTGCACCCTGTTCTTCGCATGTTCTCCTCTGCACCGCAGTAGGCAATGCAGTGAGCAAAGATGTGCACTTCTCTTTTGGGCATGGAGCGGGCCAGATTTGCATAGGGAGGAAGGGAGAAGTAGTGGTAAGCTGTTTATTTCCTTAAGAAACTTATTTTTTCATATCTAGAATTTATTATGAATTCAAAATAAATTTCCCAATATGAATCGTAACCATTTACGCCAGCAAATCATAAATAAAGTTGTCTTTGTGCCTGATCACACACAGCTAACATTTGTACAGCCCTTAGTTTTTAAATGGTTTCCATTCCCTTATTTCAATCTATAATCCTTATAGCCTAGGAAGGCTAGACCTTCATATGTCCATTTTGCAGAAAGAAAACCAAGACCCAGGTAGACAAAGCACATAGGCTTCTTTTCGCTGATTCCTGTTTAGTCAAGGATGCATAGCTAACATCCGGGCAGTCTGCAAGAGAGTAGTGGAATCCCACATTCTGTCAGGCTAAAGGAAGTCATTGGCACTCCTGGTCTCAGCCCTTGGAAACTGTTAGTTTCTACCTTAACATCTGGTGGGAAGAAACCACATTTTCTTTATTTCAGCATCCCCTCATATTTAGCACAGTTCCTCAAATGTAGTAGGTCAATTTTTAGAATTTCTAGAATTACCTGCTTCAAATAGGTCCAGATCAGTGCTGGACATTTTAGAAGACATATAAACATAGTATTTACTCAAGAAATTTATAAACTAATGGTGTGAGGGTCTCAGCTTGGATTCTGGCTATAATTATACTCTACTAAAAAGCGTTCCACCAGGATGTAAGGCCCAACGGCCTCTTCTTTTCAGTCTCCAAAGTGGGAACTTTATAAGTGTTTCTACCTTGATATTCCTTGAAAGATATTAACAGGATCCTTCCATTGTTAAAACACTGAAATGCAGTTGGCCCACTGTATGTGTGAGTTCCACATCCTCAGATTTAACCCACTATGGATCAAAAATACTATGTAAAGATGTTTTTCTTGTCTCTTATTACCGAAATATCATAGTATAACAACTCTGTACATGGCATTTACCCTCTAGTAGGTATTATAGGGAATCCGGAAATGATTAATGTATGCAGGAGGATGTTCATATGTTCTATGCAAATACTATGCCATTTTCTGTAAAGGACTGGAGCATACACAGATTTTGGTATCTGTGAAGGTCCAGGAAATGGGTATACTTCCAGAGTGATTGAAAAAGAGCCACTTCTCTGATCTCTCTGGTTCCCACCTCCCAGCTGCACCACCAGACTTTCCTCCACACTCACTTCTTATAACTGGGTAACTTCTGACAGCAGGCAGCTCTAGAAAGCAGCTCCTTCTCTGTACCAATCGGTCAATGCCTTATACATGAGTTATTAAATATTCAATATCATCTTCTCAAGATAGATTCTATTATAGCAGGACAGCAATTGAAGGAAGCCAACACATCCTGAACACTTATCTATGTCATCTTGAGAGGATATTCTTGAAAATGACCAGAAATGGAGGTATTCTGCTTCCTATTTGACAAGATAAATTCAGGGAGATTAAAAAGGTTGCCAGGGGTACATCAGTAAATGGAAAAATAAGGGTTGAAACTTGAGTCTGTGGCTCCAAGCCTTGTGCTATTTCTGCTCCCCAAATGCTCTCTCAAGGGAACGTGCTTTGGGCTTGTGCTAGGGCTGTGGCTTCCTTGCTTGACTGTCAGTAATGAGCTTTTCCTCTCTTTTTGGTGGCATGCTGTTTTAGGAGATGCCTACACAACAGAACCTGAACGAGAACCCCCTGGTATCCAAAAGCCCCAGCAGCAGTGGGGGGGAGAGATGGGAAGAGCAGGCAGAGGGGGGCCCTTCCGAGGCCATGCTGCGACTCTTGCAAAGTGCTTTCAGCAAGACCCCACTTCCAAAGCAATCACCAAAGAAGTCTCCAAGTTCGAAGCTCAACATCCCGTATGAAAATTTCTATAAAGCCCTGGAAAAGCTAAACAAACCTTCCCATCTTGAAGACTCTGAGGATACTCTCTATCACGACTATGTGGATGTTTTCTACAACACAAAACCTTATAAGCACAGAGATGACCGGCTGCTGCAAGCTCTGGTGGACATTCTGAATGAGGAGAATTAAAGCAAGCATGTGGTCCCAAGTTGGAAATATTCACGCATCTTCCTTCCCCCTTAGATTTGCTTGTGTCTCAGTGGTCGTTTTCTTATTGATTCTATGCTTATAACGTCCTTTGTGGGATTTTTCCTTTTTCTCCCCAAACTGTACATTTGAAGGGGATGAGCTCAAATAGGAAATCCAGCTTCCAGAATTGATCATAGTTCTTTCAAAATATGTCTTCCCTGTCTGTGCAAGTGAAGTGTTCTTTCTGGAGTCACAGTTAACATTTGACCCCATGCCACACTAGAATGCCTCCTTGAGGCATTCCATACAAGAAGGGGAAACCCTGGGAGATCCACTAACATGAAAAAACTAATCTGCAAAGAGAAATGACATTTTTTACCATGTTATTCTTTGAATTTTGATCCCAAGGAAGCATTTGCAAAGTATTAAATTAAAGAGTTCACAATTAGACCTGTACCCTAGAGCCTGAGCCTTCCTACTTCAAAGTACTACTCATTATGGGAGTGACAATCTAGTCATTTTGGAGAAAAAGTTGGATCTTCCTGATCCAGAAATAGACCTTGAAACTTGCATTATCTAGTGAGAGGGATTCTAGAACATTCCTGTGTGCTCAGCGTGCTGCAGAGGCCTCTGTGATTGTAAGGCGGCTGCGACTCATGCTGCATGTCCTGCTCTTCCTCTTATTCCCCTTCTTCTAGAGTTTCCCCTACCTGTCTCCTTTCTCAGCCACAAGCTCAGTATCGACAGAACTAATTTACACTGTTTTCTCAGTAAATTCATATTCATAATTTGTTTAATAATCATAGGCGACCATTTCTAACCTGAAGAATCAGTGTAATAACGGGAAAATATCTACGATGGGGAGAACCAGGGAGAGGTTTTGCTTCTTTAAAGATAAATGATTTTCATTAGAACAGAGTGTTTATTTCTGTACACTGCAGGATCTTTTTCCATCTTCCTGCCAATAGTATCCAAATTCTCACCAAATTGCTTCCATTCTTCAAGTGAGAAGACACACTGGCAGCCCATAGGCCTCATTTATTCCTCTGAAAGCTTTTATCTGGCATGCAGAATGTTCTAAAAATATGAGATATTGTTGAAAATAGGGGGTTTCATATAAAACTGAATATTCAGACACATCTACAGTTGGTTAAAGCCAAGGAGCAACTGCCCAGTTGGATTTGAGGTCCAGGTCCCTCTGGCTTATTCTATACTACTTTCATGGGCCACTGTATTTCTTACTGGTCAACATCCAGTAAGCATTTGATTTTGCCCAATTTTATACTAAATATGTTCAAAGTGTAAATGCATTAGGAAAGAAAAAAATTCTCAATTTCTTTCAGGCAAGCTCTACCATTAATTATGAGTTTGCTGTGATCTAATTAATTTAAGTTGCATTTACAGACAAAAACACTAGTTAATTTATACATTTTTGGAAGTATCTCTGAAGTCCAGCTTGACATATTCATTCAACCTCATCTCACATGAATATTCATTTCTTCTATTAATTAATTGCCAACCTCTTAGCATCCCTTTCTCAGTATGCTGTCAGGGCGGCAGTCACATGAAATGCCAGAAGTCACCCACTGAGCTGCTGTTTACAGATCTTCCGCAAAGTTTGAACTTCCTAAGGTCACCCATGTCATTGGAGTAGTTCAGGAAGGTAGCTCATTTGCTTTGACTTGAAGTGTACACAACCTACTGACTTGAATTTGTACACAGCAAGGCTATTTCCAGAGCAACGTCCATGTCTAGAGAATGTTCTAAAAGATTGGTAGCATTGCTCTGTTTTTGGATAATCAGATTCAGCTACAATCACTAAAATAAATAAATAAATAACGACTAAGACTAGAGACACCATTGAGTGGCAACAAAAGAGAGAGAACTCATCCTTTTCCTATTCAAAATCTAATGTATGACACTTTCATTTAATCTTTGCTAACTATCTTTTCCTGGTTAAAATGCCAATCAACTCATTGAGTAATAGCCAAAGGTTCAGCCTAGAGAAGCTTTAATACTTAGAGAAAATCATGTTTGAATGTTTCCAACCTGGAGTATATTGTAAAGACATAAAATATTTTTGTCAGTCTTTCTTAGTGCCTGTGTGGATTTTTGTGAAAATGTCAAAGAGGAAACTTATATATTTCCTTGGAATTTTAAGCTCTATTTTCGTCACAGGTATTTATAATGTACCAATGCTTTTAACAAACAGAATTTTAATGACATAATAAATTATATTAAAGAACCAAAAGTTTTCCTGAGAATAAGAAAGTTTCATCCAATAAACTATTTTCAAAAGGCATGTTCCTTTGTGAATGAAACAAGTATAATATGTATGTGTTATAATATTAAGTGACATTTGTCTAATACCCTAATACCATGTACAACTGAGTTTGATATGTGTGGTCTTAGCATTCTTAAGGGAACTCTCACATTATACCCTTGATGTATTTATTAACCAAAGTATGTAAAATATGCTTATAAATCAGAAGAATAAATGATTCTCACAAGGCCAAAAAGAAGAAAGCTCATGTTTCCAACAGAAACAGTATTGTCCTGTCTTACTGTGCTTCCCAGATTGACTATAAAAATGTTGAAAGTTTACACTAAAAAGTTAATTAATTCTTTTTTGGAAAAGCAAATATTACAGGAGGTCAATTAAGCACCTACTTGAATAAGATGTGTTCTGTTTTCCCTTCCTAGCCTAAGCTTTTACTTTCTTGACAGCAATTATAAGACTGTTGTTACTGAAATGTTAATGAGAAAAAAACCCCACTAAATTAAATGGACTCGCCTCATGTAAGAGACATGACTTGTAGCATTTCAGTAATCATGACTTGGTTTAGGGCTCAGAGAAAGGCATTCTGGCATTACACCCTTCCCAGAGGTCCCCTCTACAAAATGCCCAGTCCCCAACCTGGATCTCCTATCCTCATGTCTGCTCTTCTGCTTTCCAAAGCCATTCCTGGAATTTCCACCCTCCACCACTGAATCTGACCTTTCTACCCACAAAGAACGATATTTCCCCAGAATCCATCCCTTTCTCCTAAAATACAGTTGATTATTCAGTTGAACTATAATAATCTTTCAGGAATTACAGAAAAATTGCCCTGAATGGGTTTTGTCCTCTGAGTACAGATATCTTGAAAGCTTCCCATCAGGATGAGTTGGAGATATGTCTATTTTCCACTCATCCATTTATTTATTATATTTATGAATCAGGAGTGCTGGTACATGACTGTAATCCCAGTACTCTAGGGTGCAGAGGCAGGAGGATCACAAGATTGAGCCCAGCCTGGGGAACTGATATAGTGAGACCATGCTTCAAAATAAAAAATTTTAAAAATGGGCTATGAAAGCTGTATATACTTTAAAATTGAAACTGAATCTGAATATATATATATATAATATATATGTATATTGCCAGTAATCCTCCTTAAATATCCCCTCTCATTTTAAACATACTTATCCCATCATTCTTGACACTTTCTGAAACAGTTCTGGAAGTCCTTTATTATATCTTTAGTTGCACTGTCTTGGCTACTTCAAAGTGCTAAATTAATTCATAACATTTACCTTTCGTGGTGACTTGACTTTGGGAAACAGCCAGCAGTCACATGGTGGCAGATCTTGTGAGGAAAGGACACATCGTAATGTTTTCATGAGCCTGCCTTTCCATTGGATGGCACTTCACAGCACCATTCGTCATATATTTGATCACACCTCATAAAGACAGGAAAGAGGACTTCTAAGGCTGCTTCAGAAAGTGTCAAAAATTATAGGATATGTGTGTTCAAAGCAGAGGGAATACTTTGAGTAGGATGAATCACAATATATGTTACATAATAAATATTTTAAATTTAAATATCCATTGTACATTCTGATCATAACATATATAGAGATGGTACAATGCTTTGATGCACATACAGAAATGATGATTATATTCAAGCAAATTAATTTATCCTCACCAGGTGTGGTGCCACACACCTGTAATCCCAGCACTTAGGAGGCTGAGGCAAGAGGACTGCCTTGAGTATGAGGCCAACCTGTGCTTATAGCAAGATCTTGTCTCAAAAAACAAAAAAGAAAAAACTTATGCTCCCTTTCACTTGGTGCTCTCCTCCTTCTTTATAATACGCAACCCTAAACTCTATTCCCTTAGGCTGTACATTAGATGCCCAGACTTGTTCGTTCTACATTGCAGCTTTGTACACTTTGAGTTACATTTCCCCATTCTGCGTCAGTTTTTCTTTTTACTTCCAATCTACTCTCTTGATTTTTAAAAAAATTACACAAATAAGTGAGATAGTGCAGAATTTTTCCTTTTGTGTCTGGTCCTCCAATTTCATCTCTGTTTCTGCAAATGTCAGGTATCATTTTCTTTTGTTTTAAGGTTAAGTACCGTTTCATTTCATATATTTACATTTAAGCCAGAGGTCTTATGGGTATTAACACAGATTGGCTTGGCTCTTGCTTTGCTTTACTCTAGTGCTACGGGAAGAGTTGCTCCAGGAGCTACTGACCTTTCAGCCTGATTTCCAGAGCGCATATGGATGGAGCAGATCAAAACTAAATGGGCATTGTATATCCAAGCCCAGCGTAGCCAGCTTACATCATGAGGCAGAGCTGTCCTGATGAGTGCAGGCTAAGCTGAACTTGCCACCTGGGCCAACTTGTGAGTATGAGAAAAAGGCTTGTAAGCCATGGGGTCTTGTAATAACAAAAGCGACTAAGGAAAGTTCCATTTCTTCGTTCTACCACTAATATCACCCCTTTCAAATTGTATCTTCTGGATCCAGAATTTCCAGAATAACTAAGTCCTGTTGTATTGGAATAAAAGGTGTCATGAGATCAAAGAAAGGGGAACAGACAGATCTAGGGTTGCACAGAATACAACTAACTGGGTGACTTACTGATGAAGTGTGGTCCTGGGTGGGAGCAAAGCCAAATGAATCCCTGCAAGTTGGGTCAGAAAGTGGGGCACATAGGGGTTAAAACAAAAGTGAATTTATCCTAGCTGGAATGCTTCAGCTTTCCACTAACCTAATATCAAAGGGTCAGGGACATCCCTGGACACAGAGTCCAGTTGTAAAGCTTCACGTACCACTCTTAGGTTTTTTTCTTTATAGTTTGCTGAAAAACTGTGCAGGAAAAACAGCCAAGGGCAACTATGATGGTTACAACTCAAGATAGTTGCAGTTATCAAATGGAATCCATACACCAGAGAGCAAAAAAAAAAAGGGACCATAATAAACTGTACATATCTTTATGCTGATCCCACAGCTGAACAGAGACCCTGCCCAAGCACTATAATCTTTATTTTTTTAAAGACTTGTCTTCACTGCATTTCTCCTGAAAGCAGAACTTCATATAGTGATTTGTGCATAGCAAATTTATTTGGGAGGTAATAGTAAGGAACAGAAGTGACTCACACATACCTCTAAGAACTGGAAATGGTAATCAGTGGCTGTCAGTAGACACAGAGCTTCCAGAAGTCTGGAATGCACATTTCGGATGGTACTGGCATTGGTAAAAGACAACCATGCCTCTCCCCACCTGGCCCTACCCCTACCCAGTGTCCTGCCATCTTCATTATCTTCTCCCAGCACTTTGATGGAATCTTAGGGTGGTGGGGGGACATAATTGCCAGAGATAAAGTGCTCACCGTTTGTTAGCAAGGCAGCTCTTAAAAGAAACAAAATTCTGATATTAAAAAAAATCAAGTAATTTTTGCTTCCCAGAAATTTTAGCTTGCAATTTTTATACACTGTCTGTATGCTATACACAGGTATGTTGTAAGCATCAGTCTATCATCCATCTATGGACAAGGAGACGATGAAGTCATTACATGTCTGTCATTCTCAGGACACGTCCCAGGAAGACAAACACCACTTTCTTGGTTTCTGTACTGGGTCTCTGTCACATGAACAATTTCCAGTCAAGTAACCTGCAATACCACAGGCACTCTTGCCTCCTCCACACTCACACACAGTGGGTATCTTCTATGAATGTTTACCTGGGGAAAGGACCACAGCTCAAGTAGAATGCTGCTCTCAGAAGAGGGTAGAGGAAACACTGTCATATTTGTCCCTGTAGATCTGTCACATTGGTTTCTTACATTCCTTATCCCTGTCCTTACTAGTCTAGAGGAAGGTGATTTACAAACTTAGATGCGTGTTAATGAGAAGAGAGGAGCCTACAGGCTTGGTTCTGCAAAAATACTTCACAGTTTCTTCTTGGAATACCACTTTACTTTGGTAGATCCACCATGACCCAGTCCTCAAATCCGTTCTTGTGGGGAGAGCAGTGTTGTCCCTATCTCATGCACAGGTTTCACTTTACACTAATTTTCACACGCACAAGCATCACTTGAATATTCCACTGTAGCGTGCACAATGCTAGTCTGGTTTATAAAGTTCTTCTAAGGTAGTATAAATTTTGAATCAAAAATGTTAAGAAAAATTCATAGTAAAAAGAGTGCATGACTTGTTCCAAGTTCTATTGTCAGAAAAAGGCAGGATGAAGAAAGCTCACTTGTGAGATTCCATCATCCTATCAGGCCTCTCAAAGGTGCATCAAATCCATCATGCTTACCTGTGTATCCTCTCCATGGGGATGGTCATTATCTAGTTTCAACAACCAGACCTCATCTTTGGTCACTCTTTACGAGCACTTACTAAGCTTTCATGGCATGAGTGAATGGCTCTGAACCTCGTCATCTGTTTATGATGCCTTTTTCATTAGAGAAATAAAAAAGCCACAAGCTTTAGTCTTCTCAATTACCATACATTGTCTAGTTATTAAAAGAAAAAAATATTTTCTGAAAAGTAAAACAGCAATGCAAAGTGATGGGAGGTGTAGACTCTTGCATCAATGGTCAGTAAATCTGAATCTAGATTCTATCACCTCCTACTGTACCCTTGAATATATTACTCCATCTTTTTGCTTCTTATTTCCTCATCTACAACAATGACATCTAGGTTCCAGTTAGGGTTCAATAAGATAATGCAGAGCAATAAGTTAGTAAGTTTCCTGTACCGAGTAAGTATTCAATAAATGTTAGGGGTTTTTTATTCCTAGTACAGTTGTGACTCTTATTACCATGGTGTTCTGAAAAGAAACTTGACTTTAGAACCAAACAGATTTGAATTTCTAGTGCATATCTACAAATTCAATGGAAGGAAAATATCAAATTGAAAAGGAAGATGGAGATACTCTATCATATGTCTGGTTGTCATTGTATTGTCTTGGAAATAGTTATTATAATGTGAACCTAAGGCCACAGTGGAAACCATTTAATCATAGCCAGGGTAGACCAAACTGCACTGACAAGGGGATACTGCTCAAGGTAACAACTGAGACTCAAAACCAGCACCCAACACCAAGAAAAGTCAGAGAGGGGAAATGAAAAGAAAGAGGATAATGAAGTAAATCATTTATAGAACTCTGTTTTATGTTTAATGATTTTTTTAAATAAATCAGAGTACTCATTTTCAAATATAAAAATGTTATAAACCAC